AAAATAATAGAGCTGAACAGAAGATTTCAAAGAGCAGCTCAAGAAGACAAAGTCAATTATTATAACGTAGTCTCTACAGACCTGGAATTAGAAAAACAAAAGGGAAGAATACACTTAGCATTTCTCAAGCTGAAAGAACTGTAGGAAAATTTCAAGATTTGAGTTGATACTGGAAGACTCCATGAGCAAAACATTGAATTAAGCAGGAACCATCAAAAGACAATGGAAAGAATACACAACCATTGTACAAAAAAGAATTGGTAGATGTTCACCTATTTCAGGAGGTACATATAATCAAGATCCAATGATACTGAAGGAAGTCGAAGCTGCACTGAAGGAATTGGAGACAAACAAGACTCTGCGTAGTGACAAAATTCCCATTAAGATGTTTCAAAAAACAGATGCCACACTGGAAGCACTTACTTCTCTATGCCAAGTAATTTAGAAGACAACATCACAATAAATGGGGAAAAGTTTGAAGTTGTTAAAGATTTCATATTACTTGATTCCATAATCAACACCCACGGAAGTAGCAGTCATGAAATCAGACATCATATTGCCCTGTACAAGTCTGCTGCAAGAGACCTCTTTAAAGTGCTGAAGAGCAAAGGTAACACTTTGAACACTAAGGTGTGCCTCATCTAAGTCATGGCATTTTCAATCTCCTCATGTGAAAGCTGGAAAATGAATAAGGAAGACTAAAGAAGAATAGTTGATTCTTTTGAGATGTGGTGTTGGGAAAGAATACTAAAAATATCATGAACTGCCAGAAGAACAACAAATCTGTCCTGAAAGAAGTGCAGCCAAAATGCTCCTTGGAAGCAAGAATGGCTAGACTTCATTTCATCTGCTTTGGTCATGTTTTCAGAAGTGACCCTTGCCTGGAGAAGGATATCATGCTTGGTAAAGTAGAGTATCAGAGAAAAAGAAGAAGGCCCTCAATGCGATGGGTTGACACAGTGGGTGCAATCGTGGGCTCAGGCATAGCAAGGATTGTGAGGATGGTGTGGGACTTGGCAGTGTTTCATTCTGTTGTATGTAGGGTCACTATACGTTGGAGCCAACTTGATAGTACCTAACAACAAGGGATGGATTTATTAATTAGAAATAAAAGAGTTATTTTAAAGTAAGAATTTAAATATATCAATCCTATAATTAGAAAAATACAAAAGGAGCATAAAACAAAGTAGGCCTTACAAATCAATAAGAGCCAAGTTAAAAATACATAATCTGTGGAAATACCAATGTAATGTATATATATAGAGTTAATCAAGCAGGACTGAAGCTGCTGTCTTTAGAAGGACCTGATTGTAGGACTGGTGTTGTAAAGTTACATCAGGGAAATTGCTATTTGAAATGTTTACTAATGAGAAATATTGCTGTGCTTCTCCCAGATTTTTGGATAAACAATGTGACTTACAGTGAACACTTGCTTTCCTTCTGGTAGTCTGAAATGTTGGTGATTATGACTGATTATGCAGGCAGAGGTACTTGAAAGACCACACTCAAATAAAAAGTTGGATTCTGACTCTCAAATGGGCTACCCTGAACAAAACTATCACATGTGTTGCATTTTTTGCTGCTGAAGGAAGGAGCATGATCAATGTGTCTCCTTCCAGGCTAGGATAAAGACAACATAAGAACCTGTTACTATGGCATAGATTAATTTTGTAAACATGTTCAGTGAATTAAGAAAATTGTTTTGATTTCATTTGTTGTTATTTATAGTTGTTGTTAAGTCAGCTTGACCTCATAGACCCAAATAAACTATTTTAGAGACATCTGAAGTTGAACATAATGACTGCTTCTGATTTAAACATTGACAGAAATATATAATTTTCAACTCATAGTAAAACTCTCCAAGCAAACCTTAACAAGCCAATACCACCCCCCCCACACACAGACTATGTTATAATCTAACAAACATAGATACAAATTTCTTATAATAAATGTTAGCAGGTAAATCCATAAAATACCATAACCAAATGGGGTTTATCATCAAGGAGGCAAACTAAATAAATGTATGAATGTGATTTATTTCATTTCACAAGTAAATATATATATATATATTCTTGTCACAAAAAATTGAGGCATGTAAAATTGTAATATTTTATTTCCTGAAAAACTGGCTTGTTGTTGTTGTTGTTATTTGCCATCTAATCGGCCCCGACTCATAGCGACCCCTCCTTGGGTTTCCGAGGCAGTATCACTATGGAAGTAGGAATGCCCAACCTTCCTTCCGAGGAGTGGCTGGTGGGTTTGAACCGCCAGCCTTCTGGTTAGCAGTCAAGTGAAATAAGATTTTATATCCTCAATTTGAGGAAATTTCTTCCATAAATTAAAAATATATGTCTATACATAAAGCAGAGCTATTATTTTTGAAAATAAAGAAGAATGCCTATTATCACTGTTAAAATACGTCATTGTTCTGAAGAGAAAGAAATGGGTTTTAAATATTGAGAAAAACAATATAAAATGTATTTATGGGCAGAACATAGCGAAATTCTTTTTTTATAAATTGCAAAAGAAACAATTGAAGAACTAATTAGGCAAATGACTTTGGAATCATATGAAACATAAGGAAAGGAGACAAAAAGTAATAGAATTGTCTGATTTCTTGTCTGATGTATAAAGAGGCTGGAAGTCATCACTGATCTTCTCATAAGAGCAAAGCTGAAAAACTGAAAATCAACAATTTTTCTTAGAATTATCAGAAAATCAAAGTCACAGGGGCAGACTACTGCCCCCATAGCTGTAGCTATAGCAGATAAAGAGAATGACAGCTCACCTAGAGGAAAAACCTTTGCTGGAGCCAGCATCAGATAGAAAGTCTTAATGGGTAATTGATTCAGTACTGGGGCCTAAGCCAACCTTCCTACATCCACACACACATTCATGAGTTTTGTTGTTGTGTGCCATCAAGTCAATTCCAACTCATAGCAATCATAGAACAAAGTAGAACTGTCCTGTGTTGTTTCCTAGACTAATCTTTATGAGAGCAGATTGTTCAGTTTTTTTTTCTCCCACAGGGCCTCTGCTAGGTTTGAACCACTGACCTTTCAGTTAGCAGTCAAGCACTTAACCACTGTACCAGAAGGAACCCTTTCTTTATTCATGATTTTTCCTACATTCATATTAAAGGACAAGATCTTTGAAACTAGATATTTGAATAATTGACAAATATTTGATTGAAAAAAGTGTTAAGAAATAAAAATCTTGAAGAATTGTATAAGTACAATGTATTTACAGGGAAACAATATTCAGTTTGTTAAGTTAGGTTGTCACCATTTTAATAACAGTTGATGTTTAAATTAACAGTTAATCTTTTTAAGTAAATATATAGTAACGTATCCTTTTTATTTTCATTACAGTAAAACATAAAGAAAATGTAACTTTGATATATTTACTGTTTAACTTTAACTTCAATCATGAAGTGGAACTTATTACAAATAGATGAATTGAAATAAGGCAATGGGAGAAAGTTTAAATTTCTCCTGGAGACTTAAAATATTTTTTTAAGGTTGTATTTCCATGTTGGTAATTTATGAACTAATTACTAAAAATATAATGGATAAGTGTCATGATTGACTGCTATTTTAAATGATATTTCTTTAGTTCTTACAATTATATGTACCTTTTAATATCCTAGCAATGATGAAATACTAAATCTTCATTGAATATAATTATACAGTGTAATCCAAAAGTTGAACACAAGAGAATATTAAATAGAAGTTGAGACTAAAAAGCAGGAGTTCATAAGTAGTTGAATAGGAATAATATTTCTTCTTGTAAAATTATAGGAATGCCAATTTAAAAAGTGCTGTGATTATAATACATGTAAACTGAAAGGCGCAGTAAAATGTGGTTCTGGGGCATGCTGTACTTCAAAATGTGAGGTAAGTTTCTGATATTTTATGAGAAGGGAATTGAACTATGGTAATAGAAGTTTGTATTCACTACACCAATATTGAATTTATAAAAATAGTGTAGAAGTATAGAGTGGAATAAAACACAGAGCATAGAAACAGAACATGTATACAAGAAACAGACTATAAAAAGAAGGAAGACATCCGTGATTAGTACTGACCATTCTATAGCGCTGAAACCACAAAGTTGACCATGCACAAACTGTCAAACGAAAAGAGTAATAAACATATATCTTACTACATTTAAAACGAAAATGATAAGCTATTAAAAAGTCGTAGCACGCAACTAACATTCACATATTAATAAATAAAGGCAAATCACACACACACACACACACACACACAGAGTCAGGAAAAAGGTATGTCCTAGCAATTTACAACAAAGAAAAATAGAAGTTTTCAATGTGTATTTGGATCATCTGCAGTAATTAAAAACCCACTGCCATTGAGTTGACTCTGACTCAGCAACTATATAGGACAGAGTGGAAGTGCCCTATAGAGTCTTCAAGGCTGTAAATCTTATGTAAACAGACTGGTTCATCTTTCTTCCCTGGAGCAGCTGGTGGGTTTGAACCTCCATCTTTTTGGTTAGCAGGTGAATTATTAAACCACTACACTACTAGAGGAATAATGAAAGCAAATATGAATAAAAATAATGTAATATTATTTAGCAGTCATCCAAATAGTAATTTTTAAAAACAATTTCAAGTATTGGCTGGGAGGTGGGGATAGAGATTTCTAAGTACAGATGAAATTTGCATTACCATAGTTCCTCTCAGGATGCAGAATGACTAAAAACTCTTTAGTTAATTAATTAATTCTGCTCATGAGGAACCTATACATAGACAAAGAGTCAGTCATTTGAACAGAACAAGAGAATGCTGCATGGTTTAAAATTAGGAAAGGTGTGCATCAGAGTTATATCCTTTCACCATACTTATTGAGTCTGTACACTGAGCCAAAAATCAGAGAAAATGGATTATATGAAGAAGAACACAGCATTAGGATCAGAGGGAGACTCATTAATAGCCTGCAATATGTAGATGATACAAACATGCTTACTGAAAGTGAAGATGACTTGAAGCACTTGTTGATGAGATCAAAGACTGCAGCCTTCATTGTGGATTACACCTCAGTGTAAAGAAAACAAAAATCCTCACAACTGGTCCAATAAGCAACATCATGATCAAAGGAGAAAAGATTGAAGTTGTTAAGGATTTCATTTTACTTGGATCCACAATCAATGGTGATGGAGGCAGCAGTAAGAAATCAGATGATGTATTGCATTGGGCAAAACTGGTACAAAAGACCTCTTTAAAGTGTTTAAGAGTGAAGATATCACTTTGAAGACTAAGGAGTACCTGACCCAAGCCATGGTCTTTTCAATAGTCCATATCTATGTGAGAGCTGGACAGTGAATAAGGGAGAGTGAAGACGAATTGATGATTTGAATTGTGGTGTGGGCAAAGAATATTGAATTTTCCATGGACTACCAGAAGAACAAACAAATATGTCTTGGAAGAAGTACAGCTGGAATGCTCCTTGGAAGTAAGAATACCCATGCACTTTGGTCATGTCAGAAGGAACCATTCCCTGGAGAAGGATATCCTACTTGGTAAAGTAGAAGGTCAGCGAAAATGAGGAAGATCCTTAACAAGAATGACTGACAGAGCCGCAGTGATAGGCTCAAGCAATGCAAGTATGGGCTGGGTAGTGTTTCCTTCTGTTGTACATAGGGCTATGAGTCGGAGCTGACTCAATGGCATCTAATAACAACAATATTGCAGGATGTACCACAGTTTGTTAATCCACTCCCCAGTTGAGGGTTATTTGGGTTGTTTTTGTATTTGGTGTAAAAAATAAATAATATCTATAAACTGTTTTTGTATGAATATTGGATTTCATTTTACAAACTAGATACCTAAACATGAGCTCTTTGGGAATCCACTAAATGTATATTGAATTTTATAGGGAATTGACAATTTTCCAAAGTGGCTATACTATTTTGAATTCCCATTAGGTATTCATGAGACTCATGGTTGTTCTGCAAACCCCTTTGGACTTGGTATTGTCATTTTGCTATTCCAATAGGTGTGAAGCAATATTTTATTATAGCTTGAATTTTTGTTAACCTGATAACTAGTGAAATTTGATGTATTTGTTTGCCATCTGTGTATTTTTCTGGATGATATGTCTTATTTGTTGCAAACTGTTGCATCTATTTTAAAACATTGTGTTGTTTGTTTTCTTTTTATTTGCTTTTGAAAATTTGTATGTTCTGGGTGAAAGTCTTTTATCAGATATGTATTTGCAAATCTTTTCTGCCAATATGGACTTTGTCTTTTAATTCTTCACAGTGTCTTTTCAAGAGCAGAAGACCTTCCTTAATATTAAATTCAATTTATGAATTTCTTATTTTATGAAACATTTTTTTTTTTTACTTTATATCCAAGCATGTTTTGTCAAACCCAACATCCTAAAGCTAAAGATATTTCCCTCTGGTTAGCAGGCAAGTGTCTTAGCCACTATGCTACCAGAGCTCCCTAGTGTTTTACAGTTTATATTTAACTTTGTGATCATTTTGAGTTATATTTTATATAGGAATTCAGTATGGATTAATGTTAATTTTATTAAAAACCCTATCCTTTCTCCATGGAATAGTTTTTGGATAGTTATAAAAAATCAATTTACCATATAGGTGTTAGTCATTTCTTGCCTCTCTTTCTGTTAAATTGATTTACATGTCTATACGATTTCCAGTACTGCATTGTCTTAACTATACTGCATGTTTATAATAAGTCTGGAAATGAGGTTGTGTGAGACATTTATTTTTTTTTCTTTTTCAAAACAGTTTGGCTATTTTACTTATTTTAACTTTCCACATGAATTTTAAAGCCTGCTTGTCAATTTCTTTTTTAAAAAATTTCTGCTGAAACTTTGATTAGAATTGCATCAATCTACACATAAGTTTGGGAGCTCTGGTAGCGTAGTGCCTAAGGTGCTTGACTGCTAACCAGAAGGCTAGCAGTACAAACCTACCAGCCACTCCTCGGAAGAAAGGTTGGGCAATCTACTTCCATAGTGATACTGCCTCGGCAACCCAAGGAGGGGTCGCTATGTGTCAGGTCCGACTCGACAGCACTTAACAACAACAATAACACACATCAGTTTGGGAGAATTGGCATCTGAAAAATTTTGCAATTTTTCATGTGAAAATATAATATGTATCTTCATTTTAAAAGTATTTTTTATTTCTTTCAGTGTTCTGAAGTGTGCAAAACTCAAAGGTTACACAAAATTTGGCAAATATCTACTTGTGTTTCATGTTTATACATGTACAGTTTAAAATTCTCTTTAATTTTTTTTTTCAATTTTATAATGTTCCTTATATAAAATATGATTGATTTTTTTTATTGACCTTCTATTTGGTGATTTTGCTAAGACCAGTTCTTAATTTTAGGTACATTTTTGTGTATTCTTTGGCATTCCTACATTCATTTTGTCTTAAGGACACAGAGGTTTGTAACTGACAAACTATATATATATATATATTGTATTTTTAATTTTGTTTTAAAGTACTGGTTAACACTTACAGTACAATAATAAAAAGAAATGGTGAGAGCAGATATCCTTACCTTGGTCCTGGTTGTAAAGGTAAAACAGTCTTATACCATCCAGTATGATGTTACTTATAAGATTTTTTATCTTCTTTTGTGTATCCTTTATAAAGTTTGTATCCTTTATAAAGCTGAAGGAGTTCCTTTTTGTTTTTATTTTGCTGAAAGTTTTTCTATGAATGTTTTTTAAATTAAATCAAAACCTTTTTCTCCATCTCTTTAGATGACTGAATCACTTTTATTCTTTGTTGTTATTAGCTGCTATCAAGTCATCTCTGACTCACAGAGACCCTATGCCCAACAGAACAAAACACTGCCCAGTCCTGTGCCATCCTCACAATCCTTGCTAGGCTTGAGCTCATTGTAGCAGGACTCTGTCAATCCCTTCCACTGATAAATCACACAGTGTTTCCCTGCTATTCATAAGGTTTTCAGAGGCCAATTTTTTTCAGTAGTGAATGTCCCTGTGCTTCTTCCCAGGCTATCTTACTCTGTAAGTTTCAGTGAAACCTGTCCACCATGGGTGACCCTGCTGGTATTTGAAATACTGTTGGCATAGTTTTCAGCCTCCGAGTAACATGCAAGGCGCTACAGTGTGACAAACTGACAGACAAGTTGTGGCTTCTTGTTTAGTAGACGCAAATAATTAACTATGTTGATTGATTTTCAGATGTTGATTCAGCTTTGTGTAGTGGTATAAACTCATGTACTTATAATACATTATCATTCTAAGATTTGATTTGATTAAAATATTTGAAGTTTTTTAAATCTCTGTTCATGATATATATTGGTATATAGCTTTCTTTTATTGTAATCTCTTTATAGTTTTCCATGATTTGATAACTGTTTATTCTCCCACTATATCTATGAGGGGTTTGCACAGAATTGATATTGATATTAATCTTTGATGTTGTTATATTGTTAAAAAAAACAAACCAAACTCACAGCCATGGAGTCAATCCCAACTCATAGAGACCCCTCCTTGGGTTTCCGAGGCGGTATCTCTATGGCAGTAGATTGCCCAATCTTCCTTCCAAGGAATGGCTGATGAGTTTGAACCACCAGCCTTCTGGTTAGCAGTCAAATGCCTTAGGCACTACATCATGACTCGTAACAATCCTATGAACAGAATGGAAAACTGACCAGTCTAATAAGATCCACAGAATCATTGCCATGTTTGAGCTCATTTTCACAGCCATTGTGTCAATCCATCTCATTGAGGGTCTTGCTCTTTACCACTGACCCTCTGCTTTATCAGCATGAAATCCTTCTTTCCCCTCATGGAATGTTCCCTTCTGACAATGTGAAACAAGTGGCAGAGATGAAGTCTGGCCATTCTCGCTTCTAAGGAGC